CGGGGGGGGGGGGGGGGGCGGTTTTGATCAAATGCAATTCAAATCCCAGGAATACCGTTGTCTCACAAAATTACATCTTGACTTCACTGAATACGGGCGGTCCTTCGAAGTAAGTTCAATGGTCCTGACGACCAAAGCCGTAAATCTGCAAAGAACAATCAAAACCTCTATTCAGCCAGTTGAAAAAAAAAAAAAGAAACAAATCAAAATTGTTTCTGCAGAACCAATTTGACACCTGTCAAAAAAGGGAATGCAAGTTTGGAGACACTCCAGATACAGAGAAAGAGACGGCTTTGGAAACAAAATCTGGTGAAAGAATAGTATGTTTTCAACTAATATTTTTCACTATTAAATCAAGCCTCCTACAAAAAATGAACTTTGTTTGAGCTCTGTTCGAAATATGTCTGTACATGTGCTTCAAAATAATTTTAGACGACATTTAGTTCCGAAAAAGCCCAAACAGAATTTGCTTTGAGCAAGGTTTCTTTTAATTACTTTATAAGATATAAAGGAGTGAATATTAAGTTGAGGAAATATAAGTCATTTTTTTTTTAATTTAGCGGTTTATTGAGAAGTGGAATCTGCAGGTTTTTCAATATTTTCTAAAGCCACCTTTGAATACCTATGTATATTCCGGCCATGCTTAAGTAAACAAAATGCGATTAAAGTACTTCACCTCTTTTCTCATAAACATTGTGTTTCTCTCATGAGATCAAGTGCATTCAAAATCAAATGAAATCAAAAGTTATTAAAAGAATTCCCATAATTTAGAATTCATGCAACTCAACTGACCTGCTTGATCTAGTTCTTTAGGTTGCGCACCCTACGTCGATATGAGGCAATTCCTGAATCACCAGGTCTGGGTGTCTGAGTCACGTGATGGAACTGTCTGGGGTACACGACCTCACGTGGAATGGTAGTCAGACATTACGATTAAAGCATCGGCGCTGAAATCTAGTTTTCTTCTTGCAGAATTCCTTTTGGTGCGCCTGAAAATTTCATTCATTCTGTATAATATATTATCAGTGCCATAATTCTGGTCCCAATACACACAAAATACCGATCCCCGTTGTTGAAAACACATCACACCCTAGACTAGCATAGAAGCACACTGAACTCGCCATGAAATCCACGCAAAAAGGCGCCAGCGGGTCAAAAAAAGACAGCTCATATTCTCAATCCCACACACAATATTCAGGCACGCAAAATAGTAACGATTTGCAAAGCCAGGCGCCCGGAGCGTTGGCAAACTATACGCTACCTGGCGTGATCAGTTACTTGACATCTGAGTTCACGAATTTGGAACGGTTCCGCATCATGACCAACTTGGAAAAATCCGAAATGAAGTATCGGATTCAGCAATTGACCGGAGAGCTCAACAGTCTACGCTTCATCAACGAGAAACAGGCGTTGCGAATCAAGACTTTGGAGGATAAGCTAGAGAAGGCTACGTTTGCTCCGGAAAATGAGGGAAAAAACATCCAAGTACTGAATGATTCAGTCAATAACGAGCTTCCAAAAGATGTGTCATTAACGGGTGATCCCGAGCGTTTGAACGACGGTCCTGATTCTTCCCCTAATGCAAATGACATGGTTTCAACAAAACAAGATAACGAGCCTCAATTGGAATTCCCAGTCACGAAAGATATCCCGCATGTAGATCTCGAATTCCTTCGGGATTCTAAGCGGAAGCTCAATGCATCGATACGAGAAATCGCAAGTCTTCTCGAGCCTCCGTCGGGTATAGAATTTCTCGATACTCATAATGGTGAAGATGCCCGTTCTGGCTTTGACGACTTGCTCGATAACACCAAGCGTTTATCCTTAAGCCCTGATCATGCGGAACGCGTTAAGACTAGGGAAGACGTGTTTGCTCGATACACTTTGGGTAAAGACGACATGCTCACAGGGCAGAAGATTTCCTTTGACGCCGACGTTCGAATGGCCGGTGAACCTGGGCAAAATGATCAACAAGGAGGCGACCAGAGGTCCTGGGGAAAAACTGTACCCTATCATACATATACAGATGAAAGCGATGCGGAAACAGTGAGTCTTAACGGGCCCAATACAAGTGGAATCCTTTCAGACGACGGGGAACGGCAAAACAACTAGCATTAGAAGCATGAATAGTGTACCTCATCTGCTGAATATCATGCTTCTCAGGAAGGTAAACAGGAAGTAAGTGATGAATTTCTATCACTGCCAATTAAAAATGTGAATCACAAGTTTACTCTCAAAGTGGTGTGAAACACAGCGACATGTGTGAAATGATTGTTGAGTTGGCGATTCCTGAAATCTTGGGACAAATAAAAAGAAGAAAAAAGCTAGACAGTCTCTTAAAGATTTGTCTTTGGAAATGACATAGAATTCTGCCCATCAAGATTTTTGCATGTCTGCTTCTTACAGATCAAGTACTCAAATTTATGATACCGGTCCATAAAATTTCTTAACCAGGCTCTGACTAAATGAAGCCCGTTCAACCCGTAACATTTCTTTAACATCTGGTCACTTAAATGCACATATGACGTTACATCTGTGTTACTCACCTTAAGGTTGGAAATCAGAAATATAATTAATTCAATAAAAGCGTGGCCTTAGTTGGTGCATGTATACAGAATGAATTGCCGCAAAATGTAGTTTCGCACCATCAGTTTTGCGCCCTTCACAATTTCAAAACTTTCGGATTCAGTAAAAAAATCAAATCAAGTGCCACAGGTTGGGTTGGTTCAGAAGTCACAATTTGTTCAGATTACTCCACGAAACACCAAATTCGAAAAGAAGTACTAGAGTAGAACAAGTTCAATTTGAGATACATTCATCGTGGAGGGTTTAATACCACGATTGTTGAAGGACAGTCACGAAATATAAGTCCCAGGACTTTACCTTAATTCCACTTGACAAAATTTTAAAAAGATTGAAGCTGGAAATTTGAACATGTTTGACCCCATTCTAGACCCTCTCGGTCCCCATGCAAGAGCACCAGATCTATTCTATTCCAACGATGAGGATCCCGACACAGTGTTTTCTGGTATTATTAAAAACGTGACTGGGGTTCTATGCCATATAGGGCTGCTGCTATGGGGACTAATTTTATGGTTTGTTAGATGGATACAAAACATGTTCTCAACTACAAATAACCCTGATGTTGAGCAGCCTTGTTTTTTGGAGAAGACCCAGGGCTTTCAAAGACCAGGTTTTACTTTTGTGCCCTTTTATACGGATTTTCAAGAGGATCTCACTGACAATGAAAGGCTTGATAAACTCCTGGAATTTCATGCCCCTTCTCGATTTAGTTTGGGCCAATCTCCAGTTTCACCCTCTATTCTCTCTCTCATCCTCAAAGGTACTCTGGAATACCCTAGTTCAGCAACAATTATTGACTGTGATACATTAAGTCAAAGTGACATTGCGTCAAGCTCTTCGAACTATGCAGCTTCTCCTGCTCTTGATGAGGTCAGACCTAGCGTTCCAAAGACAGCGAAATATCTCGACTCTAGAACCTACACTATAGGAGACTATTGGCCAAGAATTCTGGAAATCTCCGAGAAATCTTCAATGGCAAACAGATATCTTGCCCCGAGTAAGTGCAAAGAGAATGTACAACCTCGGAAAAGTATTGAGCTTGTTTGTGTGTTTCGAAATTACAATGGTATTTTCATATATGTTTGTTTTTCTCAAAACAATGAAGGCAAAAAAGGAGAGATTCAGCTTTACTATTCGAAAGATGGTCAGGAACTTTTTAAATTCAATATTACAAATGGAAGTTTTAGAGACATGTCTGGGCTTGAGACAGTCTCAAGCACTCAGCTTTCGTTTAAAACCCTTCCACAAGCCTTTTCAGATAAACACCATAAAATCTTGTCAGCTAAAGGCTTTCATTTTTGGAAAAATGCATATTGGACGCATCCCAAACACTCAAAATCAGGACTCTCCAATCTTCTTGCAGCTTGGCAATTCAAAAGTTTTGATTCTTCCGACACCACTCCGAAAGCCAAGACTATAAGCAAATCAACGCCAAAAATTGAGCTAGCAACTATATTTTGTGGACTTGTGATTCCCGAAAGCCCGCCTCTTATTTCAAAAATCTCTGACACCGATACATCAGATCTTCACTATGAAAATAGTGAAACTCATAGAAGAGCCACTCTTCAAACAGAGATGACTGAAACTAACGAGATGGAAGATTCCGAGATATTTTTGAGCTCAGGGGAGACCTTGGCAACACCAGAATTTTTTGATGAGGAGCTAATGCAGCTCAGTGATGAAGAACTGGCCGGTTATCCAAGCGACTTCAATAGCTTGTGGAGTATACTCGGTTTAGGTCGTGATTATGAAAATGAGTGGATAGTCGATGAAAACTATGATGGAAGGGACATTGCGGTACTCTGTGACTTGAATGAGTCGCTTCCGGATTTGAGACGATTGACATTTATCACCATTGTGAGGGCAAATTTGATGAACAATTCGAGTGAGATTCTGGATGAACGTCCGAAAACTATATCTTTTGATAGTGATGAAAGCAATTATCCCAATGCTGTGGAGCCCAAGTCAGTGGTGTATTTTAACATTGATGATGTGCCACAGATGATATCAAGATGCAGTGGTGACAGCAGCGTTGCTACAAAAAGCATTTTGAAGAAGCCTAAAATCCTGAATGAGCGTATATCTATTGAGCCTAGGGTCTTCAAACAGCCTCTTGGTGATCAAGACTTGAGGAATTTGGAAGTTCAGTTATGGGAAAGGCTTCGGGAGTGCGCCCAGCTGACACACAGTCTTGAGGCAAAGCACAATTTGTGGGATCTCCGAGAAGTTCTTGGACATTTCTACGATTCCTTTGAATTTGCCCGCATGCGATTTGCAGAGGTTGCCACATCTCAAATTTTTGGATATATGTACCGTTTAGGAGAGTTGCGAAAGGTGGGTGAATTGGCCGCAAATCTCATGCGTGGTGCTGGAAACCAATACTCAAATCTTCTTGTGATCATCCGTCTCGCCAAGATTACGGAAAATGCGGTGGTCACAGTTGAAAATAGCATTGGAGGCATTCTTGAAGTTCTCTCAGAAGTTGGTCGTCTTTTGGGTGAGCTTCAAAAAGCGATCAGCGATATGAAAGATGACTTCAACGATTTTGTTCCTGCCATGAGCAGAATGGGTAGCGTTGCATTGAGCATAGGCTTTGACTTATCGCAGCTCTACGACAGCTTCTGCGACACTAATGTGGAAGACTACATCGAGCGACTGGTGATAGACAAACTTACAGGGTACCTCAAATTTATGGACGAGATGACCTTTTTAAGAAAAAACAAGGACATTGATTTTGAAGACAGTTATGACGATGCTTTAGGTAAACTACAGACCTCGCACGATATCATTGACACTGCCAAAGAAGCGATTGGCAGAAATGCGAGAGACATTCTTAGAGGTCTCCGTCTAGTGAGGCTTGATCTAGTACTTGAAAACGATGGGCTAATGCCTCCGAAAACAACTCCAGATATTCATCTCCAACGGGTGACTGGCAGCGAATTGCAGATCAGAACAAAGAGACCGTGAGAACTGAATAATACCACTTGTGGTGTTTTTGGCTTCCTTTCGCACCGCTTGTGCGTCTAGACAATCATGTATAGCTGCTATGAAATCAAACTAGTGATCAAGACTTCTGTGTGAGCCAGCCCAGTCAATTCAGACATTTCTTTTCTATAAAATCTATCTTCTATACGCTCTATGGGCATTAGGCCCTTTTATAGGCGCGGAAAGGTGAGGAAATATTTGGAAGTACTCCTCACCAGGACATGCAAGTGCAAACTGTAGAGCTGGCTGATTTGCGTCGAGTCAATACAGAGCCGAGAAATGGACTCATGTCGATGGTTTCATTACTTTGATTTGTACTACGTGTCCCTTTAATCGAAGCGATGGTTCCATTACTTTGTTCTATGTTACGTGTCCCTTTAATCGAGGCGATTGTAATTTATATCTCGAACCCAGGATTTCATGCATTTAAGCTCATTGTAGTCTCATTCATTACCTATTTATTCTTATCTGCATTATAGCAGGAGGCTCATGATTTTTGCAAGGGCATTTTTGAAGTCATACATAGCCTCTATATGCTGGGTATCTTTCGCCTCATCAACCATTCCAACTCCTACATTTTGTTTCGTGCTTTTTTCATAAAACTCCACATCGTTCCATACTACAGACGAAGCAGAGGTATCCAGCCGCCATTTGAAGTGAACTATGCCAGCCTGGTGAGACCATCTGCGCGTCCTGCACAGTGCGGGTGTTCCGGCTGACGGCCCGGCCAATATATTTCATCCCGGTCAAACCAGATCCCTCCAGTGGTGTCTAGTCCAAGGCTGTATGCCAGCATTTTATAATGTTGGGCTAACTTCCAAAAAAAGAAGAAGAAAAAATAAACAAGGACAGACTCAAAAGGCCAGTTCGAATGGCAAACTCTAATGGAAGACTCTAATCTCTGCCCAAGCCTCTATTCAAGACTCGGACATTGTCCCAGTTTCAGACTTGCAAAAAGTTGAGACTGCAGTTGAGTTGTTTGCTACGCTGGTGGATCATGGAAGAAAACGTAGATTCTGTCACAAAAGACCACCAGAAAATCTGAGAGCTCCAGAAATTGCCGGTGACCCAACCCATTTCTTCCCCGAACCCATCCCGGGGATTGTTTGAGATAAGTGATGGCGATTTCCAGCAACAGACTCAAGACCGATTGTGATAGAAGACTCTAGTAGCAGACTCCAATAGCATACTCTAATAGCAGACTCCTATAACAGCCTCTAGTGCTAAAAGCAGGCTCCTGTAGCAGGCGCGCAGAGCAGGTCAAATGGCGGACTCAAACGCATATGGCGAGGTTGTTGAGATAGACGACGCAACCAGTATGGCGGTTCGGACACGTCATCCTAGGGAAGCTTCTTTTTATAGATCTACATCTTGATCAATTCTCACGTTACCAAATGACAACTTCTGGTAAGGACACTTCCAAGAGGAACACCCCTCTGTTCTGATGAAAGGGCCTGAGGGGACATCGAGACCGAGTTCTCTCCGATCGTCGGCTTTTCTGATATCACCACTAGTTCGTATTTTTCACCACCCCTAGTTGCTATACGAATATTGGACCGTATACGCATACTAGGACTACACCATTGGCCAAGGCTCTACGCAGGCCCACGGTTCCAATGCGCGCTTCACCAGGGCAGTCTTCAACAGAGATACCCGGCGCAGGTGCAGGCGACCCCCGGAGCCCAGAAAACGCCGGGAACAGAGCCCACGGAAAAGAACCCGCGAAAGAAGCCGCGAAAAAGAAACCACGGGAAACCACCCGCGCGCAAAAATATTTGGAACACGATGAGATGCGCTGGTGCACGGGTGTGCCCGCTGGCCCGCTTATCTGGCAAGAAACTTCAGCACCCTCCTGTCTTTTCCCCCACCGCCGTGACATCCCCAACCTGCCGTGAAATGTCGAAGAAAATCTCGTTCGACGACTTCTTGAACCAGCAGAAACAGCTGCAGCTGCAGCCGCGCGGCTACGGGTACCAGAACGCCAATCTCGGCCAGGGCGCCCCAGCATACCAGCCCAATTTGCAGGGCCAGTCTTCCCAAGGCCAGGCCAACGGGCAAAACCAGCAGTATTTCCAGGCCGAGCAGGGCGGCTACCAGGGCGGCTACCAGGGCGGCTACCAGAATTTCCAGGCCATGGCCAGCCCCCAAAACGGCATGGCGGACGGCTCCCTTTTGGACGGGAATTCCGCCTTGACCAGCGGCGCCGCCACGCCCAGCGCCGGCGCGTCCAGCGCGTCGTTGTCGTCGTTGGCGTCCGCGTTGAAGAAATTGGGCGTCGACACGCCCCTCCTGGAGCACTGGGCCGAGCTCCAGCAGGCATCCAAGAACTCCGAGGCCAAGCAGCAGGCACAGCAGATCGCCGCCAAAATCTTGCAGGCGCCGTCCATGGCCGTGGTGGAGGAGTGGAAGCTTCTCGACGTGCTCCGGCTGTTGGCCCGGCCCAAGAACGCCGTGGTGGTGCGCGAGCTGGCGCTCCTCATAGTGCAGCAGTTGGCGCTCCAGTCCGCCGGGCAGACGCCCAAGGAGTGCCACTTGTTGCAGTTTTTCCCCGCGGTGTTCGACAGCTTCACGGACAAGGACAAGAACGTGTTGCGCACCGCCAAGCAGACCGTCGACGTGATGTACGGCGTGTTCCCCGTGGAGGCCTTGGGCTCGGTGGTGATGGACGCGCTCTTGGCGTACTTGGACTCGTCCGCCAAGTGGAACTGCAAGGTGGCCGCGTTGCACACCGTGGACAAGTTGGTGGACGAGGTGCCCTCGGACTTGTTGGAGATGAAGTTCAGGAGCGCGGTGCCCGTGCTCACGGACCAGGCCACGGACTTCAAGCCCGAGTTGGCGGCCCAGGGCTTGCGGACGTTGAAGAAGTTCGTCAAGGTCTTGGACAACTTGGACTTGCAGAACAAGTACGACTTGATCGTGGAGACCTTGGCCGACCCCAAGCGGGTGCCCGAGTGCATCAAGAACTTCTCGCTGGTGACGTTCGTGGCCGAGGTCACGGAGCCCGTGTTGGCGCTCATGGTGCCCATTTTGGACAAGTCCTTGAAGATGTCCTCGTCGTCCAACGACCAGCTCAGGCAGACCGTCACCGTCACCGAGAACTTGACGCGCTTGGTCAACAACCGCCGCGAGATCGAGAGCTACATTCCGATCTTGATGCCCGGCGTGGAGAAGGTGGTCAACAACGCGTCCTTGCCGGAGGTGCGTGTGTTGGGGGCCAAGGCCTTGCAGGTGTTGCAGGAGGCCAAGGACGAGCAGTCCGACGGCAAGTTCCACGGCCGCATTTCCCTCGCCCAGGCAGAGGCCTTCTACCACCAGAACATCGCCCCAGACGCAAAGCCCATTGCCGACGCCTTGTTCCGCGTGGACATCGAGAGCGCGTACTTGGCCACCGCGTTGCAGACCGACGCCAACGTCAACGACTGGAAGCGCTTGGCCGAGTACTTGGCCCAGGCCGCCGAGACTGCGGGCGTTGCTTCCGAGGCCTTGCAGGCGCGGTACGCGGCCGAGGTCGTGGCCAACGTCAAGGCCTTGTTCAACTCCAGCAACAAGGCCAGCGAGGAGCTCGAGGAGGGCGCCGTGGAGGTGGTCAACACGGACTTCTCCTTGGCCTACGGCTCGCGCATGTTGTTGAACAAGACCACGTTGCGCCTCTTGAAGGGCCACCGCTACGGCTTGTGCGGCCGCAACGGTGCGGGCAAGTCCACGTTGATGCGCGCCATTCTGAAGGGCCAGTTGGAGGGCTTCCCCTCGCCCGACGAGTTGCGCACGTGCTTCGTCGAGCACCGCTTGCAGGGCGAGGAGGGCGACATGGACTTGGTCTCGTTCATCGGCTCCGACCCGCAGTTGGCGCACGTGGGCGCCGGCGAGATCGCGGCGGCGTTGCGCCAGGTCGGGTTCCCGGACGAGCGCATTGCGCAGAACGTGGGCTCGTTGTCCGGGGGCTGGAAAATGAAGTTGGAGTTGGCCAGGGCCATGTTGATGAAGGCCGACGTGTTGCTCTTGGACGAGCCCACCAATCACTTGGACGTGGGCAACGTCAAGTGGCTCCAGAACTACTTGGTGGAAAACACGCAGATCACGTCCTTGATCGTGTCCCACGACTCCGGCTTCTTGGACGCCGTGTGCACGGACATCATCCACTACGAGAACAAGAAGTTGGCCTACTACAAGGGCAACTTGTCCGAGTTCGTCAAGGTCAAGCCCGAGGGCAAGTCCTACTACACCTTGACCGACTCGCTCGTGAAGATGGCGTTCCCGCCGCCGGGCATCTTGTCGGGCGTCAAGTCCAACACCAGGGCCATTGCACGTGTCACCGGCGTCACCTTCACGTACCCCGGGGCCCCCAAGCCTTCCTTGGTGAATGTGTCCGCCAGCTTGTCGTTGTCATCGCGTGTGGCCGTGCTTGGGCCCAATGGTGCAGGAAAGTCCACCTTGATCAAGTTGTTGACCGGCGAGACGACCCCCGACTCCGGAAAGGTCGAGAAGCACCCCAACTTGAGAATCGGCTACATTGCCCAGCACGCTTTGCAGCACGTGGAGCAGCACAAGGAGAAGACCGCCAACCAGTACTTGCAGTGGCGGTACCGCTTTGGTGACGACCGCGAGGTCTTGTTGAAGGAGTCGCGTAAGATCTCCGAGGACGAAAAGGAGATCATGCAGAAAATGGTCGAGGTGGGCGAGGGCCTCCAGCCCAGACAGATCGAGGCGCTTGTGGGCAGACAGAAGTTGAAGAAGTCCTTCCAGTACGAGGTCAAGTGGAAGAACTACTTGCCCAAGTACAACACGTGGGTGCCCCGCGAGTTCCTTGAAAAGGAGGGCTTCTCCAAGTTGATCCAAAAGTTCGACGATCACGAGGCCTCCAGAGAAGGCTTGGGCTACAGAGAGTTGACCCCGAGCGTCATCAGAAAGCATTTTGAAGACGTTGGCTTGGACGGCGACATTGCCGACCACACCCCCATGGGCTCTTTGTCTGGAGGCCAGTTGGTCAAGGTCGTCATTGCCGGTGCCATGTGGAACAACCCGCACTTGCTTGTTCTCGACGAGCCCACCAATTACTTGGACAGAGACTCCTTGGGGGGCTTGGCCGTTGCCATCAGAGACTGGAGCGGTGGTGTGGTGATGATCTCGCACAACAATGAGTTTGTGGGTGCCTTGTGCCCCGAGCAATGGCACGTGGAAAACGGACAGGTGGTGCAGAAGGGCGTTGCTGCCATCGATGCGTCGCGTTTCGCCGACGGAGCCGAGTCGGCTGAAGGCTCGCCGGCGCCTGAGCCGGTCAAGACAAGGGCCGACGACAACGATTCACCCGCCAACATCAAGGTGAGAACCAGAAAAAAGAAGATGACCAGAAACGACAAGAAGTTGCAGGCCGAGCGGAGACGGTTGCGTCATATCGAATGGTTGAGCAGTCCTAAGGGCACGCCAAAGCCTGCCGACACTGACGACGAGGAGGAGTAGATGTTTTGCCCTGAGCTGGGATTCGAGGCGTGCATGGCTTATAGACATGCCGTCGCCATGCTAACGTTTATCCACTAAATTATTCAATACAAAACGTAAACAAAGTGAATATGTACTTATATGCCCAAGTATATGTAGAACATTAGTCTACAGGGCTTTGGGTGGAAAAAGGGCACATGCAATCTAACTAACTGTATTTCACATGTCTACTCCCTTGATCACCCTCTCTGTCTATAAGTAGTGTAGAGTGAGCAGGATATTGTGCTATCAGCTCAGTTCGATCCACTTTTACGTAGCAATATATGATGTGCGCCAAGTTCATGATGCTAATTATTGTATTATACCATAAAATAGAATTGATTGATAAGAATAGTGTTTGTGCTTTTACTGGGCAATTTTGACTCACAGCTCAGGGACAGTTGGGAAAAATCATCAATTCAGCTTCAACTATATATATTATCTCGAACATAGAGGCCTCCCAGGGTCAGTCAATATTTTTCCAGCATGACCAAGCTAAACGGCTACAATGATCTCTGATCGAACCTAAAATTTTCTTTGACTAAAACTTCTTACATTAGGCACACCCTTACAAATAATTATACCCCCTATCTTCGTGGCGTCGTAGTGATGAATTACTTTGTCGTAAGATCAACGCTTCATTAAAGCGTATTCAAACTCAATCGGCCCCAGTCAAATCATTCAAATATTGGGACTGAGATCTGAAAATACCTAAGCACCCCGAGAAGTAGTTAGTGCAGAGAGCGAATATATCAAATATAGTCTTTTGTTTAAACAATGCATACACATTCAGATACTTTATTTTGAAAACTTCCCAAAGAAAAATAAAAGTTTCATTAGCAACATCTCTAACAAATCTCCCACTTCACGGGAAATATTCTAACCAAATGAAGTTTTCTGATAAAAGATCTGAAATCAGCTCACTTTTCAAGGGTTGAAAGAACAGTAGGAACCTCATCTATACATACTCCCGAGCTACTTTTATCCATTTGGGTTCGTCTAACAGTAGAAACATATCAGTAGTATAAATCAAAGTAATGAGACCATCGCCATGAGTCCATTTCCCGGCTCTGTAATGAATCAATGCAAATCAGACAGCTCTACAGTTTGCACTTGCATGTCTGGGTGAGGGGTACTTCCGGCTATTTTTTTTTCACTTTTCCGAGCCTGGAAACGGGCGTAATGCCCACAGAGCGTATAGAAAATAGTTTTTATAGAAAATAAAAAGGTCTGAATTGACTGGGCTCTGCTCACATAACATATCAGTAGGAAGTTAAGAACCTTCAAATTGCTCTCAAATTTACATCTACAGTCAAAACTCGGCCGTTACTTCTCTATCAAAATCATCAAGAAGTATATTTGTTCTTTCAGGCACCACCACATACGAAAGATACATATGCTAATAAAAATACCGAACCAGCTTAAAATGTTCTCTCTCTTTGGAAAGCTCGCCATGAAAGGTTTTCACTTTATATACCCGCAATTGTATGTTACGCAGATATCACATGCAAAAAAGATTGCAGCACCACAATTTCGCATATGGTCTCCCACTACACTACTCAGTGTGGCCCTATACAGCTTAACAATCGTTGATCGGACGGGAAACAGTGCTTTCTGCATGGTATGGCCGCAACCGAAAGATTATGTGCGTGTAATTCTATAACTTTTAGGCTCAATTTTACTTGAAGTTGACGATTCAACCAATAAAGTAATATAAGTTTAGTTGTATGTTGTCTTGATATAGTACTAAGCTTTAAGCTATAATTAAGAGGGACATACGGGCCTGAGGTGCGTACTTTGGAGCTGTTTTTATGTTTTTTGTTGTGAGTTTTCAAGGAAACATCATATTATAAGGTGTCTGTGTTCACTTTTTCAGATAAGCCCGCAGAAAAATTAGTTTGCTGCTCCCTATGGTTCATGCAACTTCACATTGATATTTTTCAGGCGTCTTATGAAATATCTTGACCATGGAATCTAGATCTAAGGACACTTAATTTAAAACATTGACATTGTGTTAGAGCCCTAGGTTGTTTTTATGTATTCGTTCGCTTCTTTTCAACAGCACATAACAAAACTCAGATTTGAATTAACAAAAGACCTTGGAAGGAATACTGTTGCGTATGAAAGCTCGAACACATTCTTCCATGACGTGACTCGTCGAG